CCCACAACAATAATATTTTAACAAATTTGTAGAAAAAATACTTTTAATATTATGTTATATAGATTTTTAATAACGTCTTTCAGTTTCAGTTTTTACCACATTTACCACATTTATTTTTAATATAATGGGAGTATCTTGACTTTAAAATTGAACATCATTGTATTTTATTGCTAAGTTTAAACAGTGCTTTTTGTCAGTTGACTCCGAAAGCTCACTTTTCATTTTCATTACTATAGAAAATTGAGCAAATGATTTTCAAACAATTTTTCAACTTATGATATTGAAATTCTTCAAAAGAACTGATAACGCATTCTAAATTTGAACAGCTGTAAAAAATTTTTTTCTCAAAATGAGAAGATTTAAATATTTGAATCACTAAGCCACCGCGGTTAGATAATCGCACCTTAAAACTCTGTTACTAAAATTGTCTGTTTCTTAGGTAAATTGGAGCATCTCCAACCAAACATTTTCTTACCAATACGAAGGTATATTGGATCAAATTTCAAAAGACCAGCAGCCAGACCAGCAACAACATTCAAAACATATTAAACATCATCTTGCTGCAATGGTTGATCACGTTGCAGAAGTCAACCAGACAAACTGTCAAATATCGTCAAATAGCTTTCAGTCTTTGTAGCTAAAAAAATAATTGAAAAATTGACGGACCCGAATCCAACAAAACATCAAAGTTTGTCACTGAGCTTTTGAAGTCTTTTGCCAGTTTTAATTTGTAAAATGTTATCAACTACATGTATTATGTTTTTAACGTTCAGTTTAAGTTTATCCGGCATCATCCAATATTAGCCCACTTTTGGCAAGAAACCGCGGTCAACTATCAAATGTAACGCTAGCATTTAGCAACAAGATAAATGCAACATTTTTCATGTTAGCAGCATTACAAATACCAAAAAATATTTTGAAAATTGTTGTTTCAGTTGAGTAAACTTGAGAAAAACTAAACTGAACTTTGGGAAGCACTGAGTTGTTGAATAGGTAAGTGTTGGAATCAGACAAAAAATTGCACGATTATTTAGAAGATTAGTTATTTTAGAACCTGGAAAGAAAACTTTTGAAAATAAATTTAGATTTTAAATTTTACGCAAATTATCTAAAATTGCAGAAACTGTTAAGATGGGCAATGCATATTTCCGAAACAAAATCTACAGGTTTTTTGGAACTCTAAAAATTAGAAACAATCATCAATTTATAATATTTTTTCTCTTTTTCAACAAATAATTTGTTTGTACCCACAATCGCTTCATTTTAGCCGATAAGATTAGGTGTATGTGTGTTATTGTATACTTCCAAACCAACGTGTGAAAGTTGTTTTTTCATAACATTTGTCATTAAACCAGTAGTTGGATTTTATACGTTTTTCATGAATGTGTTGACCTTGAGCCATTTGAAAGTCAATTCGTACAAACGAAAAATTTTCATTTATATCACATCCAGAAAAAAAAACCACATTAAAGAAAATCGCTCCTTTTTGACCCAATCACAACTTCAATACAAAAGCAGTCCTTGTCCATTTTTGCACCTATCCTGGTTAAGCTAGCTAATTTAGTTTTTATCACAAGACGTTTTCATTCACTCTGTAAAACTGCTTAGGTTTTACCGTTTCTGAAAAAGCTATCCTTTTATCCAGACGAATCGACCAACTTCCGCCCAATATCTAACTTATCTACATTTTCTAAGCTACTTGAACGCTTTATGCTGCTAAGGCTTTGCTATTACCTAACTTCCAATGCTAACTGTCCAAAACTTCAATCTGAGTCATCTCAAATGACAACCTTGGCATTTTACGTGATTGCACAAGCAAGATTTACCAGTGGTGTATAAATATTTTCTTCTTAACCTTTACAAATTTGAAATCTTGGCGACAACCTTTGCATCTTACGTGATTGCACAGGAGAGATTTACCAGTGGTATTTAAATAACTTCCTTCTTTTTAACCTTTACAAATCTGAAATTTAGCTGGTTGGAACACATCAGCAACTGTCGAGGTTTTTGTTCTAGGAGCTGAACATAGCGAAATTTACATTGCCACTCTCAAATAATACTGAATTAGTGTCACTTTTGACAAATATTTAAATTTTGACAAACGCATGTCAAAAATCATTGAACCACTTTTGCGCAATAAAATATATTGGGCATGTGATTACATCCGATGTTGCGGCTGCTCTTGATGGATGTCCAAAATAAAACTGTTAGACTGATCTTCAATAAACCCCTACGTTTCAGCTCTTTCATACTTTTTCCAAAGCTGCATTGGCAGCTCGTCTCTGCTCGAATCTATTTTAGAATTGCAATTCTAACCTTTAAAATACTATTATCCATGTCCCAACATATCTACACAAATTCATATTTTGGTCATAAACATGCAGATGAATGGACAGGTTTTTTAAGCATTCTCATTGCTAAACCCCAAAGCGCTAGTTGCGGCTTTTGTCATGGCGCTCCGTGTGTTTGGAATGCGTTGTCTCCTGAGTTGATACTTATAAGCTGAGCCATTTTAAAAAGGGACTAAAGACTTTTTTAGCTTAGCGCTGTACAAATATTCATATTTTATTATTATATTTAAAAATAATTCCAAAATGTGGTTGGAGGATGTATTGGTTTCCGAGCTTTGAAACAATCACAATATGTAATTTAGTCCTCATCTACAAAATTGTGTAACTTGTATCCAATCCCAACATCCATCGTTTAAAATTTACCTCTACCAATTTTTCAAGTCAATCATGCCAAAATCTCAAAAGATGGCAGTTATATTACCTTCATTGAAAAAGCCTGGATGATTTTGGCATGATTGACAATTCAATGCATTTATTGATAATGACCTTTCATTTATTTCTAAAACTATTGAATGGTCAGCTTATCAGACCACGCTCCTTTTAAAATTTCAATCAAGGTTTCGACGTTACCATTCAACAAAAAATTGCAGCATTAAAGGAGATTATTAATTTTATATTTTTACATATTAAATAATACTTAATCTATATACAATTTATTTCAAGAATTTACTTTGTCTGACTGAATGGTTAGCTAATAACTTTCCATATCTCGTTTATCCTTTGTTTTGTATCTACTTATTTTTTTCTTTTATATTTTGATCTTATTAACTTATGATTGTTCTTAATCTATTATATTTATTTGTGCATAAATTTTGTCTTTCGGTTCTCTTATATAACTTGATCTTCAATATTTTTTATTATTCTGTGATTAATTTTATTCAATTTCAATTATTCCTGCAACTTTTTTATAGTTAATTTTATTCTTAATTTTCTTGGTTTTGTTATAATTTATTTGCTTTCTTTTTTCATATATCTCCATATCTTGTTCTCTTGCACTGACTACCTATAAAATATAGAATAATTTTTAAAATTTGCACGTTCATGTATAAGTCTCAATCTAAATTATTTCCTAAGTATTTATCAGATATATTAACTGAACCTAAACGCCCCAAACGATCGTCTTCTTCTTCTCGCTTTTTCTTAACTCGTGTTAAACACTCTTTTGCCAAATCTGCTTTTGCTTTTTCTGGTCCTTTTCTATGGAACTCTCTACCTACTTCTCTGACTACTTCTCCATCACTTGCGAAGTTCAGAGCGGATCTCAAGACCCATCTGTTTTCAAAATTCATTGAGGAGCGCTGTTGAACATCGCGGAAATAGCGCTTTATAAGCTAATTGATTGATTGATTGATTGATTGATTGATTGATTGATTGATTGATTGATTGATTGATTGATTGATTGATTGATTGATTGATTGATTGATCGATCGATCGATCGATCGATCGATTGATTGATTGATTTTTAATCATATTATGATTGACATTGAATTCAATTTATTGTTTCCTTTTCAAATCTTTAATTTATTACCTCTTTTCCGTTTTTATACATTAACATTGTTATTACTATTCCATACTATGACTGATTTTCTCTATTTACAATTATTCAGGTCAAATATTTTTTTCATTTCATCTTTTAAGTATTGTTCTTCAATTTCAATATATACGTATATGAATGTTTAGGTACAGTTTATATGTAATGCTTACATATATATTGGGGAGTTTGTGTATATATGTATGTGTTTGGGTGAGTGGATGTGTGTATGGGAGTATGTGTGTCTATAAATGTAAGTATGTATAGTATATGTATGGGTGTGTAAATATGTGTATATATATAAGTGTATGTATTCATATATTAATTGGTTTTAAACATGATAAATTTTACATATTTTACATGTATGCTTATATTAATTGGTTTTATATGTATACATATATTAATTGGTTTTAAACATTATAAATTTTTCATATTTTATATATATGTTTTGAAAATGGATTTTTTAAAAGTCTTAAAAAAAGAAAGAAAAATTATTTAATTTACATTTATTTAATCGAACTATGAATTTATGGATTACTTTTTTGAATGTTGGGGTTAGTTAAGATTTACTTTTTTGGAATGCCCCATTATGTAACAAATTTATTGTTTTTGTATAATAAACGAATTGAATAATTTCAGACATCTGTAAACGAATCAATGAAAGAAACGTGGGCCTGCTTGTCCTACTTGATTTTAGCGCAGCATTTGACACTTTTGTTCATTATAAACTGCTAGAACGAATCTCGATTTGCTACGTTGTCAACAAATCTGTCTTAAAAGAGTTCCACACTTATTTATCCAAAAGAACTCAAATTGTTACTGTGTGGTTTGAATCAGCAACATCATCTTTAGACCGCGCCGCGGTGTACTCCAAAGCTCGGTTCTCGGACCACTCCTTTAAATTTTGTATACAGCCGACATCATGAAAGTTGTCAAATTAAGTTAATAAATTATTTAATTGATATCTATGTTGTCCATAATTTTGAAAATATTGTTTTCAAAAGATAAGAAAGTGCATATTTATTAGAAAATAATAAACGTTATAAAATTTCAGTGCGATTGTTTAAAACTGCAAATAAAATAACTTACAGCCATCAAAAACTGCTAGGAAAGCTAACATGAGGAAGGGAGCTTCTTTTCCAAGAAATTGGTATGTCACACCTCCAAAAGGTGGCCCAACTGTACATAAAACAAAGTAATCTAATTCACTAAAATGCTAAATTTTTTATGAATTTTTTCAAATCAATGTTGTCATAGATCAGTGGTAGCCAATACCAATACCAGTTTATACACATTGCCAAATTTTCATCTTCGAAAATATTACCGACCATTGCTAATACTATTATATATTTCAAATGGTGCTATATAAAGCATTTAAAAATATTTTGTTAGCTTTAAAGCTTCCAGTAGTTTATATAATAATGACAAAACAAAAAAATTATGAATTTATTTAATTTTTTCTAACAATCGACGTATAAAAAACCACTTTGCAGCCGATAAAAAATCATCATTTCAAATATATAGATATATTTAAAATAAAAACGCTTGTAAATCTATGTTATTCACAATTATGATTATGAATTATCATATAAATGCTAGATATGTTATATATATGTGAATTAGGGTGGTCTGTAACAATGCAAATATGTCAAAAACTATAACTTGTAGCTAAATAGTGATCATAGTAACATTTGAAGAAAACTAATCAATGAACAAAATAAAACCAAAATCATGTTTCTAGAGTAAACCGTTTTTATTTTACAAACCAAAAACTGCGTTTTTTTTCAAAATTTTCCTATTTTTCGAAATTTCAACCTCGATGAGGCACGGGTTAGCATTATCCAATTGAGCTAAAACGTTACAAATGTCATTTTTTAGTCAAGTGGCACAATTTAGGGGGTTCCCCCGATAAGATTTCAAAATTTTTTTTTTTACATATAGCGTTGTAACCACCCTAATGTGTATATATATATATATATATATATATATATATATATCTATTTATCTTTATATAATACACATTATTGTATAAATTCATTTTAAAAATTGTTGGCATTAGTCAATTTAAAGTTTGTCTTTTCAGTTTTCATGGAAATTATTCAATTTATTGAAAATAGAATTTTTACCCAAATTCATTATGCAAATTTATTAAAAATAGTACTTTTGTTGTCCAAATTCATCATGCAGATAGGCCCTATTTCGATTTCACATATCATATGCAGTGCAGCTTTGTTTTATATAGATTGTTTAGACAAATCAAAGTTAGTTACTTAGTTGGTGTCATATTCTCCATCTTGGGAGGCGTGATGGCTTAGTGGTTAATGTCGCCTGGTGCTGTTTCGCAGTATCCGGGTTCAAATATTACAAAAAGATTCTCGCTCACAGGCTTCGTGTGTGATGCGTCGTTTAGCATGTATTCATATATTTTATTTGAAGTTTATTAATATCTATTAAAACAACTTCTGCAATGTTTCGGTATATTTTGTTGGGGTTTTGATAAATTATTTTTGTCTTGTTGTTAAGGATTTTGGTGAGTTATTGAATTTGCATGGTTCGCTTGTGAGATTTTATGTCAGACAGTCTTAATATATATATATATATATATATATATATATATATTTATTTATTTATTTATTTATTTATTCATCAAATCAAAAAAGTAAGATATAGAAATGATACGGAGATCAAAAAAGATAAAAAATCTTATGATAGACCATCGTTAAACAGAAAATAATACGTTTAAATGAAAATAGATAAATTAAAAAATATTAAAGCTACTGGAAAATTGACTAAAATTTATATCCAAATAAAATTAAATAATGACAAATTTATAAAATAAACGATAAAATTTTCATTATTCGAATTAATAATCTCATGTTTAAAAGACAAAAAAAAAGATTTGCAACAATATATATATATATATATATATATATATATATATATATATATATATATATATATACAACATTCTATAAATTCTACCAAATGTTTGGTAGTTCCAAGTAATCAAAAAAGATCCCACTCCTCAACTAAAAACTAAACACAATAATTAAGAAAATAAAAAAGCACATCACTGATGACAAACGCCAAACATTCGGTAGAATTTATAGAATATTGTAAAAATTATGGTCTATTACCAACATATATATATATATATATATATATATATATATATATATAATAGAGTTCGGCATATAACAACTAAATTGTGTTGCTCTGAAAAAGAGAAACGATTTTATTAATAAAAAATAATAAATTAATTGAATCAATTTAGCCTTAATTAAGTAAATGTCGTACCTGAAAAAGAGAAACAACAATTAAAGCTATTATATATAATAACCAATATTAACTAAAAGCTAGAAGAAATATTCAAAATATCCAAATAATTTCAACTCAAACAAAAACTTAAATTTAATCTGTCAAACGTAAAGCTTAAGAAATATTCAAAATATCCAAATAATATCAACTCAAACAAAAACTTAAATTTAATCTGTCAAACGTTTCACAATTTACACAATATGAGGAAATACTAAACTGGATAAGTTAAGTGATTTTTTTGAATTATTTTCAATTATAAATACTGACAATTTGGGACGTTTGTTACCAGTATTCACCATTCTGAACATTGAGCGAATTCCCAATGAAACATTTTCAAACATTTATTCGAATTTAAATAATAATATTGACAGAATTGATAATTTGGTTAATGAAAATATTGTTTTAAATAAACAATGTTTGCATACGCTGAATACATTCAACACCAAGGAAAATATTGTTAAAATTAATGCTGCACAATCATCTACGAATTACGCTGCACAAACTAACACGAAAACTCTAAACAATGCTTGGTTTGGCGGGAAACTTTTAGATTTCAACAAAACTCCTTGTTCTACAAATATACAAACTGACGAAAGTGATAATGAAAATAAACCGCTTCAATTTAAAATTTCACGTCGCAAATTGATTAATCTTAACACCGCTTCAACACCTAAAAGAGAATTAATCAGGAAAAATACAGGAAAATCAAAAGCTGAACTTGGCTTCAAAGCTGTTGCACCACCAGTTAAAAAATCTTTCATACACTTGGGAAACCTCAACATCATCAAAACAGACACTATAACAGAACACTTAAACAAAGCTGGAATAAAATGTATATCCATCTTTCCAATAGCAAAACGAAGTTCAAATGTTGAAGGCGATGATAACAAATCTAGTACAGCATTTCGCATCTGCGTAGCAAACAATGAAGTTTCTAAAATGTTCGAAGAAGACTTATGGCCCGAACATACGATTATACGCGACTGGATATTCAATGTCAAACCAAGTAACACTATCGAAAACAACAACAACAACAAACATGGCTAAAAATAATACAAGTTCTGTTGACTTTATTTTGAATTCGAGTAATTTATTTCACAGCAGTGAGTGTTTTTCTGTTCCCGATTTTTCCTCTTTATTTAACGAAGACAATAAAACTATCATAAACTGTTTTTATATTTTGCATGTAAACACAAGAGGCATATTCAACAAAATAAACGATTTTCAGTTACTTTTTTCTAATTTGAATTATTTATTTTCTGTTCTTGCTATCACAGAAACTTGGCTAACTGCTGATTTGTCTAAATTAATTGATTTAGATAATTATGATTTCATAGATCTCCCACGTAAAAATAAATTGGGTGGGGGAGTTGGATTTTTTGTTAAAAAAAACATTGAGTATTCAAAATATATGAATTTTTCGATGAAAATATTTGCGAATTGCTCAACATCGATGTTCAGTTGAACATCGATGTTGTCAATATTACTTTAATTTACAGACCCCCTAAATCCAACTTAAATTTATTCTTTGACTTTTAATCAAACTTTTGCAAAAACAATGTATCAAATTTTTCATATATTATTGGCGATTTTAATATAAACTTCTCGAATCATACTAAAAACAGTTTTGAAAACATTCTTTATTCTCACAACTATCACTCGCTAATTGATCAACCGACTCGCGTGTCCAAAACAACTTCCACATTAATAAATAATATATTTACCAATATTTACTCAGATCACCTAAATGGCATTTTAATGGTGGATCTATCAGATCACTATCCCATATTTTTGTTTAATTTAAAACAAACATCACTTCCGAATCTGATATTAACCTATGCTATAATAACTTCAATTCTACATTTTTAAATATATTAAATCATCATGCTCCTCCAGCAGCAATTAAAAATTTAAAAAGTTGGATTACTAAAGATATATTAAATTTATCTAAACACGTTTATAAATTATTTAAAAAGTATAAAACAAATTCAAGCAACAATAATTTAATAAAATATAAAAATATAAATATAAAAATAATTTAAGATATTTTAAAAACAAGTAAGTCGAATGGTCTATTACCAACATATATATATATATATATATATATATTTGTTCAAAAAATCCACCGACGATTCAGCATTAACAAGTTTTATGGTTGATTTTCTAATATTTTGAACTAATTCTTTACAATTAAGTCTATTCAAAATGTTGAAATCCATTTTATAATCGTTTATGATTTTAATTGTTAAAATTAATCAAGCAAGATCCCATTTTTATAATCGTTTATTTTTTATATTATTATTAAAGTTATGCATCTATTTCGACGTAAAGTCATCATCAGTGCAATATATATTTTAAATAAATTCTATTAATAGTTAATTAGTTGTATTTTTTAATATATTAAAATAAAATAAAAGTAACGAAATAAAAACGCAAAGGTTCATTGAAATTAGTAAACAAAATATTTGAAATTATACGATTGTTCATGCGTGGCCGTTGTCAAGATGGCAACCAACAATGTCACAAATTTGAAGCGCGAAATTAATTAGAATATCGTTTCTATTATTATTATTATTATTAATATTATTAATTATTATTTTTATTATTATTATCATTATTATTATTATTATTATTGTTATTATCATTATCGTTATCATTATCATTATTATTATTATTATTATTATTATTATTATTATTATTATTATTATTATTATTATTATTGTTATTATTATCATCATCATCATCATTACCATTATTATTATTGTTGTTGTAGTTGTTGTTCTTTTTATTGTTGCTGTTGTTGTTGCTATCGTTGTTTGTATTGTTGTTGTCGTCGTCATCATTGTTATTAAAAGTATTATTATTATTATTATTATTATCGATGACGTTAAAATTATTATAAGTATTGATAGTATAGGAGTATTCTCCTATAAGTATAGGAGAATACAAACCTGGTTATTTGTATGGAAACGTCAAAACACACAAACCTAACAATCCTCTAAGACCCATAATCAGTCAGATACCTACCGTCACTTATCCAATCGCCAAATTTTTAAACAAAATTCTTACTCCGTACATACCTGATGACTACAACGTCAAATCATCAAAAGAATTCATCCAAATTTTAAACAACAACAATTCATCTGACTACATTGCCTCTCTTGATGTTGAATCGTTGTTCACCAATGTGCCAGTCAAAGAAACTATTGACATTATCATCAAAACTGTTTATTCCTCACATATGACTCCATTAAAAATTCCTAAAAATCTATTAAAAAATATGTTAAAAATATGTACAATGCAGGCACCATTCTTCAGTCCTACGGGCCAATTGTATCAACAGATCGATGGAATAGCCATGGGATCGCCACTGGGTGTCCTATTTGCCAATTTTTATGTAGGATATTTAGAAAGCGAAACTTTCAAAAAACATCCGGAACTTAAACCACATATCTATATACGTTACGTAGACGACATTTTTATCTCATATAGCAATCCAGACTATGTTCAACAACTCTTAATGATCTTCAACCAGTCAAAAATTAATTTCACAATAGAACACGAAGCCAATAGATCTCTACCATTCCTTGATGTTCTTGTTAAACATGACAACCATAATTTTACAACTTCTGTTACATAAAAATACCAAAAA